AATCTTCATCGTATGGCTCATCAACTTTATCCCTCTGTAGTTGTTACAACTCTGTGCATCACCCTTCTTATGAATTGGCAACAGAACACTTTTCCTCCACTTTTCCTCAGGCATCTTGTCAGTTTCTAAAATTCTGTTAATCAACCTAGTCAGGAAATTTACCACCACTTCTCCTAAGCACTTCCATACTTCCACTGATATGTCATCAGGACCAACTGACTTTCCACTCTTCATCCTCTTCAGGGCTTTTCTAACTTCATCCTTTCTAACCTGATCTACCTTCTTCCTACTAGTCTCTGGTTCCTCGTTTCTACTTTCCCTTTCATTTTCCTCATTCAACAACTCCTCGAAGTATTCCTTCCATCTTCTCAGCACACTTTCCTCACTTGTTATTACATTCCCCTCTCTGTCCTTAATCAACCTCACCTGCTGCACATCCTTCCCAGCTTGATTTCTCTGTCTCGCCAATCTATACAATTCCTTTTCTCTTTCCTTTGTTTCCAAACTCTCATACAACTCCTCATATGCCTTTTTTTGCCTTAGCCACTTCCCTCTTCACCTCCCTTGTCCTCTCTTTGTACTCCAGTCTGTTCTCTTCTGTTCTGTCACTGTCCCATCTCTTCTTCGCTAATCTCTTTCTCTGCACACTCTCCTGGATCTCATCATTTCACCACCAGGTCTCTTTGTCCTCCTTTCTCTGCCCAGAGGACATACCTAGCACCTTCCTACCTGTCTCCCTAATCACTGCAGCTGTAGTCTCCCAATCATCTGGGAATTCCTCAACACGGCCCAGAACTGCCCGTACTTCGTTCCTGAAGTCTTCACCACATGTCTCTTTCCTTAATTTCCACCACTTGATGTTCTGCTCTGTCTTCACTCTCCGTTCCAGTATGGAAATCGTTTTAGTGATTTGCATATTTGATTTGGCTAAAAGTTTAAGGCCGGATGCCCTTCCTGACGCAACCCTCACCATTTATCCGGGATTGGGACCGGCACTATAAAACACTGATTCGTGTACCCTAGTGGCTGGTTTTTGTTGTGATATGATAATATGATATATATATATGATAATTGTGACTTTTAACTCATACTTTTCACTTTTACTTCATGAAAGTATTATCAAGTATGAAAATATACTATACTTTTTGTGTCCAGAAATACTTTTGTTTTAATCCTTTTTCTTCAGGAAAAAGAATCGTTACTGTTTAAGAACGGTTGGAATTATATTCTATTACAATAATTACGATAATCGCAGTTTGCGAAACAACAAAAACCTTGCGCATGATTTTTTTATTACGGTAGCAATGAAGGGAATCCCGTTCTGTGATTGGTCGAGCGGCTTGGTTCGTCTTCAGTGCTGAGCTGCTTCTTCTCACCGCCACAGCTATGCTGCATCAGTGACTGCAGTAAAACACCACGGTCAGTTTAATATAACAGCTGCTCCACAAGAATAATCGTCAATACGCCCACACAAACCTCTGTTACATTAGGAAACCATACTTTTTTCAAATTGGTAAGTCCAGCTGCCATTCTCTTAAAACTGTAAACTGCGTGCTATTTCTAAGTTCCTAGTTGAGAGCCGTGTATCAGCAGGTGAATGAATGACATTGTGTACGTCATTTCTAGGCTAAAACTGCTCCTCTTTCCATCGTGTGTACAGCTGTAAAACAGTCACAACCTTGCGTTGTGGGCGTTACTAAGACTATTATGGAATAAACAGTTATCTTTTAGCAAGGCAGTTGTTTTGACATTCCTATTTAGCATCTGCAAGTGTTAGCTCAAAGCGTAATGGAGCTTCGATTTATTTGTGATTGTATTTTAGAAAGCTAGGCCAAGTCATTAGCCTGCCACTGAAGGGAATTTAGTCTATTTTTCTTTCATTAACCATGTTGTTACGTGATTAAAGTGCAGTGACATTTCCCCCCTAAAATCTAAAGAAATGTAATGTAATGTCATGATGTAAGGAGGAGCCGCGTGTCATTACCTATATGTGTGCCTAATAAGAAAACCACAAAACTGGTTAAATAAAATGTCCTCATGTCTGACGTCATCCGCCGAAAATGTAGCAGATTCTTTTCAGGTGCTGCTGAAATGGCCATTTTTAGATCAAAGTCATGGCAATAATTTGTTTCAAAGGAGTGGATGTCACAGGAAGAAAGAACGAAAGAAAACGGAAGGCGGCACTGCTGCAATATTGGGGTAGAAGGAGAAGGTCAGGTAGTTTCTACACGAAGAAGGTAAACTAGTGTGGAAACAAGGATTACAAAGTAATAACATAAATGGGAATGAAATATTACTTTGTAGTCTGTCAGTGCAGCCAGTTGAATTTTAGGTTGATGTTAAAACTTATCCAAATGTAACTACTTTTCCATTTGGATCAATTCATTGATAGTAATTGGTGTAAAAGATAGTTTTGCTGATCACACTTTGATCCCAGTTAAATTCAAACAAAGGAAATAACATGTTTGAATGTGAACCTAGGTGTGTTTTATGTCTGTGATTACTTTTGCTTTCAAATGAATGCTCAAGAAGGCACTAACACTCTTTTATTACTTTACACCTTTGGCTGTCAATAAAAAATGTCAGTATTTTTTGTATAAATATTCAGGATGGGACCGCACCATTTGATATAAATTGTTTTAGTCAAACATCATTTGTGTGTTTGTATTTGAACTTAAAGTCAATGCTCTGTACATTAAAGGCTCTGACTCAGTTAGGCCGTTGTTGTTTCTAAACCTTGAAGACCTAAAAGCTTGTTGGAACAGGATTATCACAATCTTCCTAAGATTTGTTTCTTGGATTACACACTCTATCCACGTCCAGATTAGTGACTGGTCACTGCCCTGCACATTTGTAATCCTTCACTGCAGGACTCTCGACAGACACCCAGTGCATTTATTGGTCCTTCTGATCTAACAGATCTTGTTAGAATCTAGAGCTTTAGCTAGACCATCTATCATGGTATTGTAAATGTAAATTGTATTAAAGTGTCTTATTTTCCTCAGCTCTTTTTTAACCATATTCCATTATTATTATTGGCATTTTTTTCTACCTTGGTTTCTTTCCCCTCTGTCAGCAGTTTACTGCGAGTGCACATTGCTAAGCAGTGACCATCCACCATGTTGTCCAGATTGAGGACAACATGGTCTCTGAGGCCCTGTGTCTCTGTCTATAGATGGGCACACACTAAAGAGAAGGGCAAACCTCTCATGCTCAACCCTCGCACCAACAAAGTAAGTAAAAGCTTAAATTGTCTTTATACAAACAGGGAAATGTGACAGACACTTGGTAAACACTTTATCAGCTACTATTATATAATGATAATGAAAAAAAATGGGAATTTTTCATACATGTATGCCTATGTGTTAGGGAGTGGCAGTGAGCAGAATGTAATGTTACAGTACATATCATAGAATGCAGTCAGTAGATGCATTAATTCTTATCCAGTAATGATGGGCGATGGTCAACAAACTAGAAAAACTTGCAGTCAGACCTTCAACAAAATGATTTGTTGCTGCTTCAAGAACCTCCCATTTTCACTACTTCTTATTTTCAGGTTGTTAAAGATGTAAAGACTCCCTTTGTTTTCCTTTACAGGAAAATATGATAAATCTTACTAATGAAACAACAAATATGTGTGCTTTCTCAGACTCCTTAGACTAGATAACAATGTTTTGTCTTTTTTGTCACTTTAACAAATGGTCCTGACTATTTTGCAGATCAGTTGTCTGATATACAGTACCTATCACACCTACAATACTCTTGTTTGTGTGTACCTGAAAATGTCTGTTTATTTTGAAATAATAACAAATGAAACTAAAAATTCAAACTCATAATATTTGATGATTCATTTGTCTCAAGAAAGACTATCTTTGAAAATTCTCAATTAAGATTGATTTTATTCTTTGCTTCTTGTGTTGACATTGATAGTTTCATAGTTTTTTTCCCACATGGGATAACTACAAGTTACTGATTTCTCCTGTAACTCGAGCCTCTTGGCAGCTGCACGAGACGTGGTTATATCCTGTGCAGCTTGAACTAAATTTAGAATCCAAACATTTTGTACTTAATATAGGCTATCCATCCTGGGTGTGAAGTGGTCAGTGGCTGCTGCTAACAGTTATGTTTGGACCACAAGTATTGCACACAAAATACAACAACAACCTGGAGTAGAACAAGACAAGACAGACAAGTTAGTCAGAAGAAAACCATACTATTTTACACATTTCTTCTTCAAGTAAACTGCACCAATAGAGGTCCTTACTTCTTTTCAACTCACTGAATCACCACAACCAATCAGATATCATCTTGGTGTTATGCAACTACACAGTTACTTCAGAGGAGTGAACACATACTCACATACACCCACCAACTCACACATTCATGAACATGTAAGGATTTGACTTTCATGGTCTCCTGTTAACAACAGATGGATAATTCCTAGATTGCTGACCAACTAGCAATCCCCAGGTGTTTTATGATAGAAAACAAAGTATAAATAGAAATATTTGTTCCTTTACCTCCTCTTCATTTACTCTTTTATTAATGTTTTTTAGTATTGACCTTACCCAGTAACTAGGAACTTTCCTTTAGTAGGAATTTTGAACTAGGTGAATTCTCTGATATAATGAATAGGGAACAAATATTTAAGAACAAACATACCCCATCAATCTGAGTGTTTTACAATTAATAATTAGATAAGAGATTCGATTAGATTGAATTTAATTAGTTACTTCACATTAATTTTAAATAATTTAAATTTACTTATACACATAAGCACTTTAATAAACAATAGTATGTATGAAAATTAAAGCAACACACTAAAGAGCGCTCTTGGTAGAGATGAGATCATTTACGTATGTATAATGATTTTATTTTTATTTATTTTTGCTATATTTCACGATGTAGTTTAGAAAAAACTGCGATATATACAGAGAACATTACTATTACGATGCATAATAATTAATTTTCAAATAATGTTAACTTCGACTTTTAAATTCATGTGACTCAGTCATCATGTCCAGAGAAATTGCCTGACAGCAATCTTAGCAAAGAAAGGCACAACTCTCAATGGAATCTAAAGAGGAAGAACATTGTTTGTGGTTGGCAGTATGTCACATGCTGTTATGAGGAATTGAATAGTGGAGCTGTGTGAAGAAAAAAAGCTGCATCAGCATGACTCTGCAGTTTGTCAGGGGAGCCCCCTACACCCTACATTCCACAATGAAGTAAATCAGTCCGATCCGCAGCTACAGTTTGATGAACTCCACATGTTACACCTCTCTTACTCAGGGCTCCTATACGCACATATACACACTGCAAGACCCTGAAAACACGTTGTTCCTTTTCCTCCGTCCTCTCATTTGTGAATGGGTGTTTCTGGCTTTAATGTTCTTCATTATCCTCTTATACACAACTTGCCTACTTTCTTTTACCCCTGCATGTTTTTCTTCAGGTTGTTTTCTCTTGATGAAGAGTAGATGCGACATAGTTTGAACATTTTGTCCTACAAGAAAAGAAAAGAAAAGAACAAACATTTTTCTTTTAAATGTTACTTACTTATACTTATACTACAATATTAAGAATACTGTGTAAAACATCTCAACATTATATATAGATATATCTTTGCACCTTTAACAGAGGTCTGGCATAAATCTTTATCATTTGTTTTTTTATTCAATACAAGACAATTCTCTTGGTTGTATTTTTATATTGAATGGTGATATATGTACTGTAAGACAATAGCCTTACTGTATATATATAATTTTAAACTAGAGTGGTGTCCTGTCAACCTTACTGTATTAATGATGTATAAAGACAAATGTTGATTGTTCCTCATGGGTCAGAATAAACTAAGTTGTTTGCACTCTCTGCTTGTGACAAACAACATGATCTACACTGATCTTTTTTTGGTACTGAAACTCAGTCAAACAGTTATGGTTTTAGGCAGATTAATCAACTATGAATTAGTGTAAAATATGAGCGGTTATCAGTAGGGGTGGGGGAAAAAATCCAAGAATCGCGATTCTAATGATCTAAGATTCTTAATTGATTCTTAAACTTCAAAAATGGATTATGTATTAACGTTCGCTTTGTCTCTGCGCACCCTTACGGACTACCATATGTGCTTCTGGGACACATCTTGCTATGAACAGGAACTAGGCAACTAGCCTAAGCTTTTATTTATTATATTTATTTTATTTATTAAAGTAAGCATAATTTTTTTTGTATATCTTGAACCTAGTCTTGTATTCACTGAGAATTGAGACCTAATAAAAACTTTCTAGTTTGAAAAATAAAACAAAATATTTTGTTGTTTGTGTACAATTTTTGTTGGGCTTTCTGGGTAAGAAGGGAAGCTGGTGTAAGTTTTTATTTTATACAACTTTATGTAACAGTACATAACATTACATACTTATACAAACTGTTTAAGATACTGTAATCTTCTTCATTGACACACTATGCACTGTATCAGTTTTTGAATCCGGAATCACTTGAAGCGAAAATTGTTTGAATCGGGAATCGATTTTGAATCGAATCGTGAGACACAAAGATTCAAAGATTCACATTTCTAGTTATCAGTAAAAGTAACTGCAGTTCTCTTCCAACAGCTGAAATGAAAACCATCTTGGACCAACAACTAATAACATATCACATATATGTTATTAGTCGTTGGTCCAAGATGGTTTTCATTCAATCTGTTGGTTTAATCAGCTGTTTGAGCAGCACTGTGCAAATGTCTTTAAAGATCATTATTGAACATCAGTGAGAGTTGTTTCTATACAGGCTGTATTGGCATGACAGCCACTTCCATAACTTCATTTGACCAGAGCTCTGACAGCAAGAAGTTAATCAGATGACTTAATGGAGTATTTCCTATTGGATGCTAATTTTTTTATTTTCTTTTGTGTGTGTTTTTCCACAGGGCATGGCCTTCTCCCTACAGGAGCGACAAATTTTGGGGATACATGGTCTGTTACCACCTAAGGTGGAGACTCAGGACATTCAGGCTATGCGTTTTCAGAAGAACCTCAAGAAGATGACTGATCCACTTGAAAAGTAGGATGTAACTTATAACTGAACTTCAGAAAATGACTACAGAATTCTATGCTTTGTGACTATAATTATTCAAAATTGTAATTACTTGAAAATGTCAGGTTAATGTTGCTTAATGTTTTTTACACAGATATATTTACCTGATGGGAATCCAGGAAAGAAACGAAAGGCTATTTTATAGAGTGTTGATGGAAGACATAGAAGAGCTGATGCCAATTGTCTACACTCCCACTGTAGGCCTGGCCTGTACACAGTATGGACACATCTTCAGGAGACCTAAGTAAGCATGCAGCAAATCTTTTAATCCGTCAGAAAGCATATAAATATAGTTTCTCTTTTTTTAATCAGCCAAAAACCCTCGGAAATTGGCATTTCTTTCACAACCTGGTTAAGAACCACAGCTCACATAATAAAAAACAACAATCTTAAATGTATAAAAATTCAATTTTTATTTTTATTATGTTTTTTTATTTGTGATTAATAACATCCATCCATCCATCCATCCATTTTCATCCGCTTATTCATTACCGGGTCACGGGGCAGCAGTCGCCACCCAAATCACACTGCACCGTACCAACCCCCCTAAACCTTCCTGCGGGTGGTGAACCCTGGGGTTCCACACCAATGACAGAGACATTGCCTCTGGGCCAAAGCGCCACTGATTAATAACATACTACACTAATAATTTTCTGAAAAAAAATCTTAAGAATGAAGAAAGAATAAAGAAATTTGCCTAAAATATGTAGATATGTGCTTTTTAGGCTATAAATACAATATAAAAAATATAATACAATACAAAATGAATTAAAATGCACAAATTATCCAGCTCTGCGCTTTCTTATCTTTAAAATTCAGAAAATTGATCAGATTTTATAATTTTCTGAAAAATGTATAAAAACACTGATTTGCCTTAAAAATCTGGCTATGTCCTGTTTTATGGTTAAAATTCAGAAAATATTAATACGACACTCTGGACGAGTCGTACGTTAAACACATGAGCACCATCTTCACTTCCTCCCTTAATGTACGGAGCCCCTAAAGGGACATGAGGGGAGGGGGAGGGAGAAAAAGAAAAGTATATCTAAGACATTTTGCCACACATACATACAGGGTAATTTAAAAAAAAAAATCATGTACAGTACGTACGGTTGGGAAATCTAAGATACCGGCATGTCATGCGTGACATATGTACTGTATATACAGTGGTATGAAAAGGTTTGGGCACCCCTGATCATTTTCAAGATTTTCCTTTATGTATCATTGGTTGTTTGGAACAGCAATTTCAATTAAATATATCATATAGCAAACAAACACAGTGATATTTAAGAAGTGAAATGAAGTTCATAGGATTTACAGAAAGTGTGCAATAATTACTTCAATATTTAGTAGATCCTCTTTTTGCAGAAATAATAGCCTCTAAACACGTCCTATAGCTTCCAATAAGGGTCTGGATTCTGGTTGAAGGTATTTTTGTCCATTTTGACCATCACCTTTACAAAACATCTCCAGTTCAGTCAGGTTTGATGGTTTCTGAGCATGGACAGCCCGCTTTAAAACAGATCACAGATTTTCAATGATATTCAGGTCTGGGGACTGAGATGGCCATTCCAGAATGTTGTACTGCATGAATGCTTTGCTAGAATTTGAGTGGTGTTTAGGGTCGTTGTCTTGTTGAAGTATCCAGCCTCGGCGCAACTTCAACTTTGTCACTGATTCTTGAACATTGTTCGCAAGAATTTGCTGATACTGACTGGAATCCATGCGACCTTTAACTTTAACAGGATTGCCAGTAGCTGCACTGGCCACACAGCCCCTCAGCATGATGGAACCACCACCAAATTTAACTGTGGGTAGCAAGTGTTTGTCTTGGAATGATGTGTTCTTCTTCCGCCATGCGTACCGCCCCTTGTTATGTCCAAATAACTGAATTTTAGTTTCATCAGTCCACAGCACCTTATTCCAAAATGAAGCTGGCTTGTCCAAATGTGCTTTAGCATACCTCAAGTGACTCTTTTTGTGGCATGGGCGGAGAAAAGGCTTCTGCCACATTACTCTCCCATACAGCATGTCCTTGTGCAAAGTGCGCTGAATAGTTGAATGATACACAGTGACATCATTTGCAGCAAGATCATGTTGTAGGTCTTTGGAGCTGGTCTGTGGGTTGAGCTTGACTGTTCTCACCATCCTTCGCCTCTGCTTATCTGAGGTCTTTCTTGGCCTGCCACTACGGGCCTTAACTAGAACTGTGCCTGTGCGCTTCCATTTCTCACTATGTTCCTCACAGTGGAAACTGACAGCTGAAATCTCTGAGCTAGCTTTTTGTATCCTTCCCCTAAAACACGATGTTGAACAATCTTTGTTTTCAGGTCATTTGACAGTTGTTTTGAGGCTCCCATGTTGCCAGTCTTCAGAGAAGATGCAAAGGGGAGAACAACTTGCAACTGGCCACCTTAAATACCCTTTCTCATGATTGGCTTCACCTGTGTATGTAGGTCAAGGGTCAATGAGCTTACCAAACACATTTTGTGTTCCAATAATTAGTGCTAAAGGTATTCAAATCAATAAAACAACAAGGGTGCCCAAAATTATGCACCTGCCTACTTTTGTTTAATGTAATTATTGCACACTTTCTGTAAATCCTATAAACTTAATTTCACTAAATATCACTGTTTGTTTGCCATATGATATATTTAATTGAAATTGCTGTTCCGAACAACCAATGATACATAAAGAAAAATCGTGAAAATGATCAGGGGTGCCCAAACTTTTTCATACACTGTATGGTGAGCATTTAATTAATGCTCACCATACAGTGGTATGGTACCTCATTTAGACACAGGATGACACTGTCGTTGTTGTTGTTCTACTGTTGATAACAGTGTAGCGAGATTCGTGAAGGGTTAATACGTATATACGTAAATCATCCTCCTCATCCTTCTGAGAGTAAGCATACTAATAAAATTCTCATCCACTGAGCCTAATAATTGTAAAATCTCACCAAGCCTCAAGCCAAGCGTAAAGTACAATTCAACTTAATCTGTGTTCAGGGTGGTACAACATTATTATACACATCAAATCTTAATAAATACTCTTTTCAGAGTGGTAGCACATTGCTATAGGCATGAAATCGCTATAAATACGTGCTTCTTACTCTATTCAGAGTGGTAGCACATTACTATAGGCATGAAATCGCTATAAATACGTGCTTCTCAGTCTATTTAAAGTGGTAGCACATTATTATTATTATTATTATTATTACTATAGGCATGATATGGCTATAAATATGTGCTTCTGACTCTATTCAAAGTGGTAGCAGATAACTATAGGTTTGAAACCGCTATTAATACGTGCTTCTCAGTCTATTCAAAGTGGTAGCACATTACTATACATATGAAATTGCTATAAATACATACTTTGCATTCTATTTTGAGTGGTAGCACATTATTTGAGGCTAAAGAGAAAATCCCTGTTAATATATCTGTTCTCTCAGCGTTTAGGGTAGGACTTTATTTATGTTCTTTACATTTACATGTACAGTACATTTTAAACCAGAGGGAATGTAAAAAATGTTACCCAATGCAGCACATACTGTAGAACAGAAAATAATCACGCTCAATCTAGGATTTTTCAGCAGTGTTTTTTATTATTATTATTTTTATTTTTACAAATAGTAACATAAATGATCATAATATATAATACAGAACATTTGGGTTTATTTTACATTTTTACATTTTACATTTTTTAGCTATTTTCCAATAATATACAGGCTATGTCCATCCTGTTCACTGACAGCTTCTGGAGTTGTCTGCACATCAGATATGTTTCCACTTTTTAAACTTTTTTTTCCTCTGTTGAAAAAATATATCTGTGCAAATTATTCTTTATATTACTGCCAGTTCCTCAGAATATTCCTGTTGTAGGCAACCTCATTTCCCATTGGGTCAATTACAGTGAGGAAGCTCTCTGCCATGTTCACAACCTTAAGTAAAGTTATTTCATATTTCATATCAATAAACAGGCTGTATAAGGACTTCCTTTACTATGCTTAATAGTTGCTTTACAGAGTCTTGCACAACCAGCTCAATGTTTTGAAGCAGAGACTTCATTTTTAAATATGCCCAATAGTGATGGGAAGACCGACTCTTTTTATTGATTTGAATCTTTGACTCTCGAACAGTAAAATGAACGAGTCTTGAACGAATCTTGAACTAATCATTTCATTCGTTTTACAGCAGGTGGCGCTATAGCCCTATTGTGGGCGTTGTAAAGAAGGCTGCGGTTCTCCGACACTAAATACTGAAGGCAACATGGTTTGCTTCCGCTGACAAAGTCTACAAAGTACACAAAATGCCATAAGCAATTAAAACCATGCGAAAAGCTAAGAAATAAAAACACACCACAATGTGAAGATGAATGAGAGCAAAAAAGACCCAAGCTCTTTCACGTGACAAATGAAACGAATCTGCGAGAACGAAGCGAAAGATTAGTTCACAGAGAATGATCCGCTCACAGCGAAAGATTAGTTCACAGAGAATGATTCGTTCACAGCGAAAGATTAGTTCACAGAGAATGATTCGTTCACAGCGAAAGATTAGTTCACAGAGAATGCAGAGAGTGATTTGTTCGCAGTGAGTGATTTGTGAGTTCAATATGAACAAATATTTAATATGACTCGGTAGTCACGAGTCAAGAATCTTTCATATGACTCGGGAGTCACGAGTCATATGAAAGATTCGTTCATTTTGAACGAATCACTCGCGAACGACACATCACTAATGTCCACATAACAAAAGAGAAAATCTGTCAAAGTATTGAGTCATCAGAAATCAAATATTTTGGAAACAGATCACAAGAATCCAATGTGGAGTAACATTTACAGGACACAGCCAAACATTCTTTGCTGCGAACTTCATCTGTAACAGATAATATAGAAATATGTACGTTAATAAAGATGAGTTAGGACCCTACATCAAAAGAAATGACTTACTTTCTTAAAAACTACATTACCTTATGGAGACTTTCAAACTGCCTATTAAAGAAGGGGGAGCTTGCCACAACAGCACTGAGATCAAATATGGCTTCCTGATAAAATGATAAATATATTTGTTAGTGCAAAAGTACATCCATAGACCATGCCAAGTAACTTCCATTCAAAAGTAACACATGCCTTAATTCATAAAATGGTTAGAAATTATGTGAAAGTTGCCTTTTTTCCATTTTGTGTAGTTCCAATGCACACAAAGGAAATAAACCGATTACCTAAGAAAACATAGCGATCAATAACTCAATGGAAGAAATACTTAATTTCATGGACAAATGTCAGGGGTCCATACACTTCCATCAAAGTCTGTAGGCCACTATCAGAGAATTGTAAACGAGCTTATGAAATACTGTAAACCCTGTGCTAATTTAAAAAGGTACTGTTTTAAAACAGCTGAAAAAAGAGGAGGCTATATGGGCAAGTTATATGACTACATGAAAATTACGATAAATCGCAGTATTAGCTATTCAAACTGCATTCAGACACGATCTAATGCACGTGGCAAGTTGAAATAAGTTGACTGTCAAACCTATGCATTACATACTGGTCATATAAAGTATTACAAATACAAGAAACTAACCCTGTTTAACAGTGGGGTAGCAGAAAACTATGGCTTGGCTGAAGTGGCAAATTGGCCGATGTGCGCATGCGCAGTTAACTCGGGTAGCAAAAAAACTATAGGTAGGAGAAAACTTCAGAACACCGGTTTCCCAACCGTACTTACATGTATTTATTTCTTTTCATGTATTTACATGATGTTTTTTTATGTATTACCCTGTATGTATGTGTGGCAAAATGTCTTAGATATACTTTCTTGTGCTCACGATATGGGGTTGAATAACCCAATATAATAATGTAAGACTGTAGTAACGATTATAAAGTCTCACCTTATTTACCTTTTTATTTAGAGGTCTGTTTATTTCCATTTTGGACAAAGGACATATTCGCTCCATCCTGGACAACTGGCCAGAGACAAATGTTTCAGTAAGTCTCTGAAAACCAATACTGGAGAAACAGCCTTTTTCTAGTAAGACATTTAGACACACTGAACTACCTTAAATGATGTTTTTATTTTCAAACTTTTGAAACAGTGAAATTGGTGGTGTTTACTTGTAGATATTGCATTTCTTTAAATATTAATATTATTAGGTCAAAGCTGTTTTTACTGTTACTATTGTTTCTTTTAAATAGTACTTTACATTTTTACGTTTTTGCTCCATTCACAGGCAGTAGTAGTCACAGATGGCGAGCGGATTTTGGGATTAGGAGACCTGGGTGTTTATGGAATGGGAATTCCGGTCGGAAAACTATGCCTGTACACTGCCTGTGCTGGCATTAGACCTGAGAAATGTCTGCCTGTGGTGATAGATGTTGGCACTGACAATGAGGTAGGAAGTCTTTGTTCACTAAGTAACTCTGTCTGTCTCTCTGTGTGTGTGTGTGTGTGTGTGTGTGTGTGTGTGTGTGTGTGTGTGTGTGTGTGTGTGTGTGGGTGTGGGTGTGTGTGTGTGTGTGCGCGTGCGAAAGAGAGAGAAAGGGGAAACTTCAAAAGCTCTTTATCCTTGACACCATTACTCGACCTCCTGTCAGACTCTTCTCAGAGATCCATTCTACATGGGCCTGTACCAGAAGAGAGACCGCTCTCAGGCCTACGACGATCTGATTGATGAGTTCATGGAGGCCGTGGTGGACAAATACGGACAGGACACACTGATCCAGTTCGAAGACTTTGGAAACCACAATGCCTTTCGCTTCCTCAGGAAGTACAGGGAGAAATACTGCACATTCAATGATGATATTCAAGGTCCTCAAGTACAAATGACTTCACATTGAATTGCAAGATGTGCTTTAATGCCATCAATCAACATCCACCTTTCTGAAACATTATATTTAGTTCACTAAATAAAATAATTATATAAATTGTAATCTTTTTAAAGCAGAGATTAAACAGTTTACTGTTTCTTTTCTGTTTTTAGGCACTGCATCAGTGGCACTTGCTGGTTTGTTAGCTACTCAGAGAGCTGTTGGAAAACCCATCACTGAGCACAGAGTGCTTTTCTTAGGAGCTGGAGAGGTAATTAAGCTTTGCTTTGTTTCTTTGTACTGTTGAGTCTAGTAGAACACTTGCAGGAGTCATATTGCCGCCCGCTGACTAGAACAGGTGGTACAAACTAGAAACAACAGTCCAACATTAAAAAATTAAAGCAATACTTTTTGCTCCGGTTTATAGTAAATTGTTCAGTTTTGGGTTAGTGTCATTACAGAGATAAAATACTTTGGCCTATATGGCTCAACAACTGCAAGACAATAATAAACTATTTGAACATTTGTTTTCTTCTAATTGATTGGAACTGTCTACAAGACAGTAAGAATCTTGGATATTTAAGTTTTAGCACTTTATAATATAAATGTTTTTCAGATGAAGGAAGCTGCAGATGTTTAATAACAGCATTATATTGCTATAAAACATATATTATCCTGTGTGTAACATTGACTAAGTAAAGTGGTTGCACTGACAACACATGCTGGTTTTGGTTTTACTGTAGCGACATTTCCTCTAACTAAATGTCCATTTCAAATGTATTGCTTTAACATTGAAAATGTAAAACACTTTACACACAATTTTGTGTAATGTGTACCTCAAAGATGAAGGCTTCATACATCTTCAAACATCTATGAGTTAAATGGTAAAAGAAAACTAAAAAGGAATTCCTTAGCAAACCATATTTAATTTAATGTTGAGTTCAATGTTCAGGCATTTTCTTTAACTTGCGTGAGTAATGAGCAGATTAACATTCTTTTGGGAGACATTTCGGTACCACTTAATCTGCGCTCGGTGGGAAACAGTTTTGTTTACACAACTGTCCCTTGATTTAAGATTCTGTCCTAAACCTGAATTTGATTTATTACAGTTTTGCTTTGATGATGTCCTACTAATGACTAGTGACTACTTGTGTGTAGGCTAGATCTGCTCCTGGAGCTGAATGTTGAACACATACTGTCATTAACATGGTTACTTTATTCTACAGGCTGCCCTTGGTATTGCAAATCTTATTGTCATGTCCATGATGGAGATGGGAATGTCACAAGCTGAAGCCAGAGAAAAGATCTGGATGTTTGATAAATATGGATTACTTGTAAAGGTCCGTGGCCAGAGCCAACATTAAATGTCTGGGTGACTTCCTCTCTGGTTCACTGCTGGTATCATTTTAATAATAAGTGTGTCCTTTGCTGTTGCTGTAGGGCAGAACAGAGGAAACGGACTCCAACCAGGAGGCATTTGTTCATGACAGTCCAGGAAATGTAGAGAGCTTCCTAGATGCTGTCAACATCATTAAACCAACAGCTATCATTGGTAAGACACTGATCTTTCAAACTAAATAACAGTCTTTATCCATGTGACTTTATAACTGAAATGAATAACTTATATTTAGATAATGTGTAGTGTAACTCAAGGGTTCTCAACCCCTGGTCCGGGGACCAGTACTATTCCGGAGGTACTGCGCCGCAGTGGGACACAGTAAAAATAAATGCACTTCAGCTTTACAAATGTACTTGATTCAAAAGAATCCAGTCATGTCAATTTTTTTTATTTAAAGATAATCTGACAATAGATCATTCAGATTCTGATACTATCAGAAAAAAGACTAAAAGATGTTTTATTTTTGGAAAAATCCTTCAACGATGGGTGGTATTACTGTGCCATTAACTAGAACGAGTTCTGAACTGAACTGAAGAAAATTTTAGAAAATTCACGTCCAATTGCCTAACAGAACTTTCAAATAGCTCTTTTGGTTTCTGCTTGTGATTCAGTGCAAGTCTATATTTCCACACTGACTTTTATTCATTTCTCCAACTCTCAGGTGTTTCAGGGGCAGGACGACTATTCACCCATGATGTTATAAAGGCCATGGCAGCCCTGAATGATCGACCAATTATCTTTGCTCTGAGTAACCCAACCACTAAAGCAGAGTGCACCGCAGAGGAGGCTTACATACTCACTGATGTAAGAAACTCATATAAGCTAAGGGCACACCAAAGATGAAATTACTGACTGAATAAATTGACACATAAGGTTTTAGTCTTTTTCTTTTTTCTAAACATCCTGTCTTTCCTCTTTGTGTTCTGCGCCCCACAGGGTCGATGTCTCTTTGCCAGTGGCAGTCCATTTCCTCCAGTGACTCTGAGCGATGGTTGCGTCTTCACTCCTGGACAAGGAAACAATGCCTATATCTTTCCAGGTGAGAGATAGTGAAGGAGAGAGAGAGAAAATGGGGGTAAAATTAAAGTTTTTTCAGGACTTAGTGTTTCATGGATTGACCAAACATCTTGTGACATCACTGTTCGGTACGTGGCCTGCTGTGTGACTGCAGGTGTGGCCCTGGCTGTGATCCTGAGTGGAGTCAGACACATCAGTGACACCGTTTTCTTGGAGGCTGCCAAGGTTAGTACTTCACCAGAACACCTTCTCTCTATCTTTCAAACCCGCTATTCATCCTTTCCCTCAAATTCTTGCCATCGTTGTCGCTTTTTGCACATTCTCTGTGAACTCATTGATTTTCATCTTTTAACCCTCGATGTCTCCTCATCCCTGTCTTTCTAGACTCTGCCATAACAGCTAACAGATGAGAGGCTTTTAGAAGCTGGTGCTGGTTTGCACGTTTTCCATCTGTGTCTTCCCTGTTTTGCTGAAATGATGAAAAGTGATAGATAATTTATTACCAGTAGTCTGATAATAATTGTCACTCAGTTAATGTGAGCAGAAATACAATGGGTGGGGGGAGTTTCTGTCTTTTAAACTAATCTCAGAAATGTTTCCATGACACTAAAGGTAGTTTTTACTTGTTGCAGACTCTCGCAGAGCAGCTGACAGATAAAGAACTTGCAGAAGGCAGGCTGTATCCTCCTCTGTCTAACATCAGAGAGGTCTCTCTCCAAATGGCTGTCAAAGTAAGTTGTCCTTTAACAATGAATTAGGAGATGTCTTACATAAAGCTACTTGCTTATTATGGCATAGATAGATAGATATAGACAGATATCAAGATTACTATCTAGATCTATTGTTGTAGAAAATTTTACATGATTTAGAAAAATCAAAAGTCAACAGAGTTTGTCTTTGATTAATTTATTTTAAATATCTTGGCCAAGAGAGCCGCTCCTAACTCCTGTTTAATACAGTTGTTAGAGACGATTGACCCCGTTAGGCTCTTTTATATGGTTTTACATGATTACATCACACAGTCATTAAATCTTAGACAAAGGACAAAATCATTAACTTTCCAAACCTTCTCTAGATTAAGAAGTCCCCTCTTTATGGTTACCAAAATCCATTACCTAAATTCCAACCTTATCAAGAGGAACACACATTTCCTAAGAAGTAAACTATTACAATTTATATAGCCCAAGCAGTTCACTTGCACACAATCAATACATTTTTCTTCAGGTTAAACACCAATATAACATTTTCTTTACACACCATCAATCTAGATCTATATTTATCTATATCTATTTGGATTTATATCTACAAATGTGTATCCAGAGCTGTATTTATCTATCTGGAGCTATATCTATGTAGATCTATTTCTATAAATCTATCTGTATCTATAGCTCTCTGTCTAGTTCTACAGGGAATGCAGAATTATTAGGCAAGTTGTATTTTTGAGGATTAATTTTATTATTGAACAACAACCATGTTTTTAATGAACCCAAAAGACTCATTAATATCAAAGCTGAATATATTTGGGAGTTGGAGTGGGACTTTTAGTTTTAGCTATTTTAGGAGGATATCTGTGTGTGCAGGTGACTATTACTGTGCATAATTATTAGGCAACTTAACAAAAAACAAATATATACCCATTTCAATTATTTAT